CGGCATGTGGCACGATAAATTCCGTCTATCCGGTACCGATGTGCATGTATCAACGAGTGCGCACAAAGAATTGCAAATGCGTCAATCGTAGACACGACAACTTCACGGCCCCAGCTCGTCTCTCCAAATTGAACGCCATCAAACATGTTGGCGTCTTACTTCAAATGCCTCAACGTGGCGAAACGGTTGCGATGTGTGACATGTTGTCTGTGCGTACTTAGCTTTCCCATTGTCCCATTTACCTTCTTTATGAGGTTGAGAGACACAACCGCATGAAAGCGGCTACTCACTGTATGTCACTGCGTCTTGTCATTCGTCACTCAGACATGCCTAGTCAGGCCGAATTGTTGCCACCAACACTGGCAGCTGCGTGCAGTGTTACCCGTGGCACAAATCTACGGCATTTGAATTGGCTGCTCCCGACTAAGTGCTTTTCCGTCCTCGCTTCCGCTGGCAAGGGTGCTGAGATGTGTGAGAACTGCGAATTCCACTGTGGATAAAGTGGGAAGAATGGACGTATGACGCGCATGCTATGACAGCGCCTGTCAACTACATCCCTCGTCAACACAAAATGTGTTTAGTTGTGCATACCGACTAAAACATGCAAAGTTGGGAAGGAAGTGTGGTTAGTGGAGGGGTGCTTGATGATTGAAATCAGCTGAGACTACTGCAAGTCGACGGCGAGGAAGAGGAATTTGCATTTCTGCACCAGTGTGGAATGGGAGTGGATCAACAACTTGCAGTTACAAATAACTGTTAGCTCATTTGTGATCGCACTTTACTGTTTCTCGCTTTTGCACATTAACGGAGTCCAAATATGCCCCCTCCTCCTCCACCTTCTTCTTCTTCTTCACATTTCTGCAGTGCGTGCAATAACATCGCTTGCTAGGAGCACAACAGCATTGCAGTTAGATTTCCACGAGGACCTCTCGTGGGCCGAGCCACCACGAATCGTACTGCATCCAATGTAACATACCCCACTTCAATCCGCACATCAGCTCCCTGTAGGTAGTTAAGCGACCACTAAAGCCCACATTCGACGGATGATGAGTGCAGAGAGACAATCCTGAGCAAGTCACGAATGGTGGCTACCTACACCGCACATTGTCAATTACTGTTGTGACACAATGATGCACCACCCTCCCATCCCACTCATTCCTACCACCCACAGTGGTATGAAGTCACTAATGCATTTCTCCCCACTCTCCACAACTTATGTAGTGCAGTGATCTAGTCAGCCACCATGAAACACCAACAGGGCAAAGCTTTGCATCCCTGACAAGTCGCCATGCCGTCAACAATGACAACATTCACTCCCTACAAGCACTCCCCAACCGTGTCCTGAAATTGCTCACTCTCATCTTCAGTGCACCATCCAAACGAGTACTGGGTGTGAAGAAAGTACCTCCTGCAATTGGAAAGCGGCATTAACGATGAAGACATTTGGAGGCGAACAGTACCATCTACATGGCATGGGAGCATTGAATGTGCAACTGAACTGCCATCCATGGTGCTATGTGACGAAAGGCAAGTCACTCGTGTTCTGACGAGGCCTGCAATGCAGACGATGTTTGTATGCATGCATGTATGAACACCACTACTTCATTGTCCAACTGGTAGGACATCACCACGCCTTGATGTGGGGTGATGAGGAGTGCGAGGTCAGTCGACCCACGCACTGCATGGCACTCGGTCACAGTGGTGCAAATCCGCACCACCAAGGACAGAAATGCCAATAAGCAACGAAACAAGGGACAGTGCTGAATGATAGCATTGGGGCGACAAAGAAGCAGCAGATGCCCACATTCATCCCAGCGTGGCGTGAAAGAACGAAAGTCGTGGATTACTTAGTCGAATGCATGTTACAGTCACTTACAATAAAGTCTTCAAACACACATCTGGCAGCATCTGCAAGAGCGTCTTTAGCAGTCCGTAGATCACGTGATGTAAATGCGAGACAATCGCCTCCATCACCACCTACTCGATCCACCCATATTCGCTGGTGTTGTGGTGGACGAGGCTTCCGCTGCACCAAACAATTGGGTCCTTTCGGATTGATGGACAAGTGGGCTTCGTGTGGTGTCACACCAACCAAACTATCCTCGCTATGGTGAGTGTCCATTTAGTGTGCACATCACCACCACCCAGTGTGGAATGATGGTGCGTATTTCGGCACTGAGATGTGACGTGATTGTTGATGCGAGTTCTCCAGTTGCATGGGTGCATGACCATCAGTAGGTGACGACACAAGAAAATGAGGTAACAACCGCCCACCACACCTCGACACTCGCGACAGGCAGCTAGTATAGTTGGAGCAGTACCAAGTTCAC